GCAACAAACTTAATTGATTACACTGGGAGCTGCTTCTCTCCTTCATATTGTTTTATATACGATGGTGACGACAGTTTGGTTTATTGGTGGAACTCCTGCTGTCTAAGGGGAGGGGTGTCTGGGGGAGGGAGAGGGGTGTGTCTGGGGGAGGTGTGGTTGGGGGGAGGGAGAGGGGGAAGTCTGGGGGAGGGAGAGGGGTGTGTCTGGGGAGGGAGAGGGTGTGTTTGGGGGAGGAGAGGGGTGTGTCCTGGGAGGGAGAGGGGTGTCTGGGGAGGGAGAGGGGGTGTCTGGGGGGGAGAGGGTGTCTGGGGAGAGAGAGGGTGTGTCTGGGGAGAGGGTGTATCTGGGGAGGGAGAGGGATGTGTCTGGGGAGAAGGAGGGGGTTATATCTGGGGAGAGATGGGGATATCAGTATCAGGAGAAGGGGTGTCTGGGGGAGGAAGGGAGAGAGGGTGTCTGAGCCCTCTTCCTCCCCCACTCCTCCCCCTGCCCTCCGTCACGAGCTTATGATGAAGGGTGACTGTCTTGGTCTTGCACCACCCTTATGCATATTTCACTCTATTCTTCCTCACCAAAGATAAATCGAGTTCCCACTATCAACCTCACCCCCCTTCACTCACCCCCCAAAAAAAAAAAACATGGTGGTGTGTGTTTGAGAGCTAGGGTCAAGGAGGAGGAGGAGGAGGAGGGGAGATGAAAGAAGGAGGAGTGAAAGGTGATGTTGCATGGTGAAGTAGCAAAGAGAAAGAGAGAGAGAGAGAGAGAGAGAGAGAGAGAGAGAGAGGAGAGAGAGAGAGAGAGAGAGAGAGAGAGAGAGAGAGAGAGAGAGAGAGAGAGAGAGAGAGAGAGAGAGAGAGGTGGTGGGTATATCTGGATGGACTCGGATTTAACCTCAAGGAAGCTGCGTCTAGAGATGAATCAAAAGGACGGAGTGCTGGTGACAATGGGCGGATGGGCGGTGACATGGGCGTCGGGAGGGGGGCGAGGGCGTGAAGGTGGTGTGAGAAGAGGGATGCTAGGCGCGATATTACTGCGTGGGCGAGTGTATGTGTAGGCGAGTGTGTGTGTGGGCGAGCGAATGTGTAAAAACGAGTGAGTGTGTGGGCGAGCGAGTGTGTGGGGGCGAGGAAGTGTGTGGGTACGTGGAGAGGAGCTTGAGAGAGAGAGAGAGAGAGAGAGAGAGAGAGAGAGAGAGGAGAGAGAGAGAGAGAGAGAGAGAGAGAGAGAGAGAGAGAGAGAGAGAGAGAGAGAGAGAGAGAGAGAGACTAATCACAGGTATCTCTGCAACAGGTGAAAGGTATAAACTAATTAAAATCACTCAGGTAATAAGACTAGTTCAGGTGAATCATGGTATCTGACGATGGTGACGAGTGATAGTGAAGCCGAAAATGGTGATTAATCCTTCACCATGTTAAGAGAGTGATGGTGATGTTATGGTGAAGAGAGATAGTGAAGGAGGGGTGTTTACATTGAATCGTGTTGATATAGTGACTAGTAAGACGTATAGTGATAATGATGGTAGGTGTGGATGGTGAAAAGGACGGAATTGTGGTTAGATATATAGTGGTTATACACACATTGATAGTGAGCTCATGAAAATGGTGATGGTGAGATGAAGACTAAGCAGTGATGGTGAAGCAATGATGGTGAGGTAATAATGGTGAGGCAATGATGGTGAGGTAGTGATGGTGAGGCAATAATGGTGAGGTGGTGATGGTGAGGTGGTGATGGTGAGGTGGTGATGGTGAGGTGGTGATGGTGAGGCAATAATGGTGAGGCAATGATGGTGAGGTGGTGATGGTGAGGCAATGATGGTGAGGCAATGATGGTGAGGTGGTGATGGTGAGGTGATGATATGCAAGAGGTGTAGCGTGGGAAAGAGAGAGAGAGAGACCCCTGACTTCGACAAAAACATCCAATATGGCATCGAAATCATATTGAGACTCTAGACGCCACGATATAGATAGATAGATAGATAGATAGATAGACAAAGCAGGTATACAGCAGGCATACATACACACTGCTGTCACAAAAAAATAAAACATCAGCAGTAGCAGCAGGAACAGCAGTCATCGAATTAGCGGCAACAGTAGTAACACCAACAATAGTAAAACCAGTCACAAAAGTAGCAGTAGGAACAGCAACAGCAGTCATATATCAGTAATAGGAGCAGCAGACAAATCCGTCCTAGAAGTAGCAGTAGCAGAAGCAGTAGCAGCAGCAGCACTACCACCACCACCACCACCAGCGGGACAGCGTCAGTCAGCGCCCCCGGACGGAACATAAACAAACTAGCGAGCGGTAAACAAGCTGAAGAATAACAGCACGTCCTGCACCTCTGGTTTTTTTACCCCGCCTACATTAATCTTTTGCCCAGCCACTTAGTGCGGGTCCTCTGGGGTCCTTTAGGGGTGTTGGTGGGTTCTCTAGGGGTGTTGGTGGGTTCTCTAGGGGTGTTGGTGGGTTCTCTAGGGGGTGTTGGTGGGTTCTCTAGGGGTGTTGGTGGGTTCTCTAGGGGTGCTGGTGGGTCTCCTGGGGGTGCTGGGTGGGTTCTCTAGGGGGTATTGGTGGGTTCTCTAGGGGTGTTGGTGGGTTCCTCTGGGTGTGTTGTGGCTCCCTTCTGGGGGTGTTGGTGCATTCTCTGAGGAGCTGGTGGGTTCTCTTGGGGGTGTTGGGTGGCTCTAGGGTGAGCCAGGGTTTTCTAGGGGTGTTGGTGGGTTTTCTAGGGGTCCTTTGGGGAAACTAGAGGTACTTATGGGTTCTTCTGGGGTCTTCTGAGTTGTTATGGGGTTCACTGGAATGTTGGGGGTCCTCCGGGGTACTTTGGGGTGTTGGGAGATCCTCTGGGGTGCTGTGGGGTTCCTCTGGGGGGGGTGTGGGTGTTGGTGGTCCTCAAAAAATCGGTTCATAAATAACACTTATATTAGCAGCACTCCGGGACGACCAAGGAGTGAATCACCCTGTTATAATGATGATGTTCTGTGGAGATGGTGGTGTAAGGTCTCAGGTCGTGCTGTGGATGTCGTACTGTGGGTGTGTGTGTGTGTGTGTCGTGCTGTGGTGGTCGTGTTGTGGGTGTCGTTCTGTGATGGTCGTGCTGTGGGTGTGTCGTGCTGTAGGTAGCGTATGTTGTAGTGAGTGTAGTCGTTCTGTGGGCGCCGTGTTGTGATGGTCGTGCTGTGATGGTCGTGTTTGTGTGTGTCGTCTGGGTGATGGTGTTCTTGTGACGGTCGTGCTGTGGTGGTCGTGTTAGGGGTGTCGTGCTGTGGTGGTCGTGTTGTGGGTGTCGTTCTGTGATGGTCGTGCTGTGGGTGTGTCGTGCTGTAGGTAGCGTATGTTGTAGTGAGTGTAGTCGTTCTGTGGGCGCCGTGTTGTGATGGTCGTGCTGTGATGGTCGTGTTGTGTGTGTCGTTCTGTGATGGTCGTGCTGTGGTCGCATTATGTATCACTACTGAGCCCTCCTGGACACAGTGGTTGGCCCTGGTTAGGTTGTATACAGCTGTGGAGTGGAGCTGTATACTTGACGTGAAACAACTTGCCTGACAATATAAATAACGAAGATGTTGCCTGCAGCTGTTGCCTCCTGTCTTGCTGCCTGTTAGTCTGCTTATTATACACCCCGGTTTATTTCACGTGAAGAATAGACACCCCAGTTTATTTCACCTGTAGATTAGTCATCCCAGTTTATTTTACCTGAAGATTAGACGAAAATTAGGCACCCCTCCTCATTTCACTTTAAGATTAACCTAACCTAACCTAACCATTATATATTATAAGGCAGTTATATATATATTAAAACAAATGTATAACCGTATAATAAAAAAAAAAACGTATATTATAGCTATATTTCCATGATTAAAAGAAGTATATTCCAGCAATACTCATAAGCATAAAAGAGGTATATTTCAGCTATACTCATCAGGTTAAAACAGGGATACTATATAGCTTGAGTGTGTGGGTATATCAGGGTATTTGTGTTATACCGTAAGGGAGAGTGGTCATGATTGCTCTGTGTGATCTCACGTCTGTTTGGGTGTGAGTTAGGAGGAGCCAATCTGTTGTAGCATCATCTTTATGCTGTGGTATACCTTGAGCTGTTCCCGCCTGCCTGCCTCCCTGCCTTTTTCGTCTTCGTCTTCTTCGTCTTGTTGTTTTTCTTCGTCTTTTTGTTGTTATTTGCTTTCTTCATCATCATCTTCTCACTCCCCCAACCCTCCGACTCCCCATCGTCTTCTCAACCCCAGCTTTAGCCTCCCCACCCCACCTAACCCTCTCCACCCCACCTATACCCCCTCCCCACCCCACCTATACCCCTACCCCACCCATACCCCACCCCACCTATACCCCCTCCCCACCCCACCTATCCCCACCCCACCTACCCCCTCTCCACCACCTCCCTGACCACCGACAGTGTTATCGGCCGTCATACAGAGTCGGGAATGCACAACAACGTGTAGATATGTTGACAAAACTTCTGTATGTGGCGTCGTTCTTATTGTCGTTCCCCCCGTGTCTGATTCTTCCTCCTCCGTCGTGGCCTACGTCAGGAGAGGGCCCAGGGTGCGACAGGCGGCACTTAGCACACATGTGTTGTGGTGAGGATAACATCTTGTGGACATGCAGGCCCGTCATACCTTCTCGTTGCGGACACATGTTCCTGCGCTCCTGCCCGACATTTGCATATCCTTCCTCGGTCGGCGGTACACGAGGCTCTCCTTCTATCTCTCTCTCTCTTGGCGGAGTCCTGGTGTGTGATGGTGGTGGTAGTGGTGGAGGTGGTGGTAGTAAGGTAGTGGTAGCGGTGGTAATAGTGATGCAGGTAGTGGTAGTAGTGGTGGCTCCTGGTAGTGTTAGTACTGATGCTCCGCCAGACTAACACACACACACACACACACACACACATACACACACACACACAGTTTTATTATGACAAACTATTATGATGTAATAAACTTGCCGCTGGCCCGCCCCCCCCTAACCTTGTTGTTGTTGTTACAGCAGTACGGGTCCTCCGAGGGAGCCTATGAGCCCGGCTGTGACCCCTCACCCACAATGCCTCAGCTCCACGACCACGCCCACGCCCATGAACACGCCGGCGCCCATGAACAAGCACCTTTGACACCATCATCATCGTCCTCGTCATCTAACTCGTCAGCTTCATCAGGAGGACCTGCTTCCTTCGTCAGTCCGTGTAGCGACCGTGTCAACAATTACGTGTCCCCGGGGTCAGACGCGGGGTCTACTGGTGAGTTCTCTCTCTCTCTCTCTCTCTCTCTCTCTCTCTCTCTCTCTCTCTCTCTCTGTAAAAATCACACCGTGGCAGACCGTAGGCATTATTACGTCACTGTGGCAGACCGTAGGCATTATTACGTCACTGTGGCAGACCGTAGGCATTATTACGTCACTGGCAGACCGTAGGCATTATTACGTCACTGTGGCAGACCGTAGGCATTATTACGTCACTGTGTCAGATCGTAGGCATTATTACGTCACCGTGGCAGACCGTAGGCATTATTACGTCACTGTGGCAGACCGTAGGCATTATTACGTCACTGTGGCAGACCGTAGGCATTATTACGTCACCGTGGCAGACCGTAGGCATTATTACGTCACCGTGGCAGACCGTAGGCATTATTACGTCACCGTGGCAGACCGTAGGCATTATTACGTCACTGTGGTCAGGTGAGCGGCGGCCCTCAGGTGTCCATGGTCGTGTTGAACCTTATAAAGTGTGACGTCACCGGTTGAAGCCCATCACCTGAACATTAGACACCCCCAACATATCCATCCCGATTAATTATTACTCTCTCTAACCTAACCTAACCTAACCTAACCTAACCTAACGTAACGTAACGTAACCTAACCTAACCTAGACTAACTTAACTCAAATCTGAACCCATTCTAACCTAACCAAATCTAATTACCGCCCCAGTAAGATGTTCGATTCTAATTCTCGGGGGATCGGGTAAAACTATATATTCCTCGAGCGAGTGTTGCAAGTGTATGGGGCTATAGAGAATGTAATGGTTCTCGCTTCTCCTAGTGTAAGATTGGTTTAATTATGGTGGTAGTGGTCGTAATAGTGGTGGTGGTGATGGTAGTAGTGGTGGTGGCCGTGGTGATGGTAGTAGTGGTGGTGGTTGTGGTGGTGGTAGTGGTTGTGGTAGTGGTAGTGGTGATGATGGCCGTGGTAGTGGTGATGATGGCCGTGGTGATGATGGCCGTGGTGGTGGTGTTATAGGATAGATACTTAACACACGTAGGAGGTCGGCGCCGAAAGTGAAGTATCCTGCCGTGAGGTCCTGTGTTGACACCCTGGACACGCCCACCTCCTCCCGCACCTTCATATTAACATTCAGACCACGCCCACCTACCCATACACCATCCTGACCATGTCATTTCCTGGACCATTATATTACCATTCAGGCCACGCCCCTCCCGGACCACCCTGGACACGCCCACCTCCCCCTGGATTACCCTGGCCACGCCCACGTCTTCCTGGACTTGGGGCGGGTATTGCATGGCCGACTGGGGTTAACTTGGCATCTTTCTTATTAACATATACCTAAGTTTACGTTTATATAAAGCACACACACACACACACACAGAGAGAGAGAGAGAGAGAGCAGTTGATCTTCTCTCTCCTTTCCATCCTCTCACCTACTCTCTATACTCTAGTTCCTCTCTCATCCAGCTTCACTCCTCCTCCCCCTCCCTCCTCCTCCTCCCTCCTCCTCCTCCCACCTCCTCACCCCCCCTCCTCCTCCCCCTCCTCCGCCATCAGTAGTAGTAGCAGCAGCATCACACAGGAGGCCTCAGGGCAGCGCCTAATGACCATCTCGTCCAAGCTCTGGGAGAAAGGGCTGGTGAGGAGGGGGCTGATGGTGGATGATGGAAGGTGAGGGCTGAAGGGAGAGCTGATGAGGGCAGGTGAGGGAGAATGGTGGTGGTGGATGGTGGAGAGTGAGGGCTGGTGAGGGACGGTGGAGGGTGAGGGCTGGATGGAGGGCTGGTGAGGGAAGGCGGTGGCGGGAGGGAGGGAGGGCTGGTAAGAGCTAGTAAGGACTATTAAAGGCGAGTGAAAGCTATTAAGGGCTGGTGGGGGCAGGTCCTAAGCGGCCATCAAAATGTTCGAATTGGTGTGCACGATTCATAAACATGGTGTCTTCTGTGGCTGTTGAGGGCTGGCGTAAGGGTCGGTAAGGGCTAGTGAGGGCTGTTAAGGGCTACTAAAGAAAGGCAGACTAGTAAGAGCTCTTAAGGACTACTAAAGAAAGACTAGTGAGGGTTGGTAAAGGCTAGTAAGGGCTGGTAAGGGCTGGTAAAGGCTAGTGAGAGTTGCTAAGGGCTAACAAAGACAAGCTAGTAAGGGCTAGTGAGGGCTAGTTAGTATTCAGGATTCATAAAACCAGTGGCTCCCGTGCCGGCTACAATATTCCCCATAAACCAATTTTATGCACCTGGCCTTCATGCAATTACCTGGCTCCTGATCCTCGCTTTTAAAACTACAATGTCGCTTTTTGGACGGTTTTTGTGTGCGAGTTTTGTGTTGAAGTCCATCCATTGTGATCCAGTAGTCAATCTCTTATGGTCTCTCTCTATCTCTCTCTATCAGGTCTCTCGGGGAATTTTGGGGGAAGATTTTTTTTTACGGGTGAATTCGTCTTTTTTTAATATATTTTTAAGAACTTTTTTTTTATTATCTCTCATGAACTATTTTTTTTAATCTCTGGAATCGTCTCTTCTTAATATCTCTATAATCTTTTTCTTTTTCTTCTTATCTCTCAAAACCTTTTTATCTCTCTACTCTCATCTCTCAAAACCTTCTTATCTCTACTCTCATCTCTCAAAACCTTCTTATCTCTCTACTCTCATCTCTCAAAACCTTCTTATCTCTCTACTCTCATCTCTCAAAACCTTTTTATCTCTCTACTCTCATCTCTCAAAACCTTCTTATCTCTACTCTCATCTCTCAAAAACCTTCTTATCTCTCTACTCTCATCTTCAAAACCTTCTTATCTCTACTCATCTCTCAAACCTTCTTTATCTCTCTACTCTCATCTCTCAAAACCTTCTTCTTATCTTCTCTACTCTCATCTCTCCATTTTTGTAAGAGATGAACGACTCGAGGGTAGAAATAAATCTCCCATCTCACAGTCACACAACATTGGGAGGGGGGGGTAGAGGAGGGGGGGTAGAGGGAGGGGGGAGGGGGGTAATTTGTCGAGGGAGACGTGAGCCAGTTCTTTAAGGTTCTCGACCTGACCTGACCTGTTGATAGCCTGGGGTGTCGAGAACCGAACACACACAATTCCTGTCAGGAATTTTAAAGAGTTTTACTGATTAATACCATTATAGTGTGTGTGTGTGTGTGTGTGTGTGTGTGTGTGTGTGTGTGTGTGTGTGTGGCGGGTCTGAGAGAGAGAGAGAGAGAGAGAGAGAGAGAGAGAGAGAGAGAGAGAGAGAGAGAGAGATATCGTTACACCAGACAAAACCAACACACACACACACACACACACACACACACCACACACACACACACACACACACACACACACACACACACACACACACACACACACACACACACACACACACACACACATCCCTCACTTGACAAGGACATCCATTAGCCGCAGGGAGAAAAATACACACTAAGCTGTGGGGTAAAAACACTCGAAAAATTTCGCCGTTAAGAACATTTTGGCGGGATTTTAAAAGCTTTGTTGGTTACCTGTGTTACGATCTGGCGAGACAGGTGAGTTACTAATGAAGTGAAACCATTGTCTTCTGCAGGTATTTAATTAATGTCTTTACCTGTGCTGTGTCTTCTACAGGTTGTTAATCGATGTCGGTGTCTCCTTCCCCACAGGTATCGGTTCCCCTGCGACGGGTTTGTCCTCCGGCGGGGTGTCCAACGTATCTGGAGGGGAGACTAGTGAGGTCTCCTTCTGCGCCGGGTGTTCCGGACGCATCATCGACAGGTTCTATCTCCGGGCGGTGGAGCTCAAGTGGCACGCGGGGTGTCTGAGGTGCGTCGCCTGTCACACCCCCCTCGACGACGCTGTTACCTGCTTCGCCAGAGACGGACACATCTTCTGCCGCGACGACTACCACAGGTGAGTCGTCTGGTGGTGGTGGTGATGTCTCTAACGCTGAGTCTCCCTCCTCCTCCACCACGTCCCCCACCTCCTCCACCACCAGCTCCACCTCCTCCTCCACCACCAGCTCCACCTCTTCCTCCACCACCAGCTCCACCCTTCCTCCACCCCCTCCTCCACCACCAGCTCCACCACCAGCTCCACCTCCTCCTCCACCACCACCTCCACCACCAGCTCCACCTCCTCCTCCACCACCAGCCCCACCACCAGCTCCACCACCAGCTCCACCTCCTCCTCCACCACCAGCTCCACCTCCTCCTCCACCACCAGCTCCACCTCCTGCTTATATAGTGTTTTGACAAATCTACCTCTACCTGTTGCTACTCTCTCTATATATCATCAGGTAGATACACACCTTTCCCTTGCCCCATCTACCGGACTGTAGATGTATTTACCATTCATATGTACGCTAATTTGTCTTCGTATCAACATAAACTTTCACCCGATAAGATACAGCGATTTGGATGTGATATTCAACCATACATCTATTGCATCTTTCTACCTTATTATCTACCACCTATCTACGTCTTGTATTACGTCATCTGGTAGACTCTTGGTCCGTCGCTGGTCGTTTACTCAGGCGACATACGTAATGACGTCACAACAGAGACGTCCAGCTGGGAGGGTCGTAAAGTTGTGATCCTCGGCAGATGTGAACGACGGCCGCCAAGGTGTAAACGAAGCCCTTAACGCTTATGTAAATATTCCTTTATTACAAAATATATAAAAAATTTCTTTCTTTTACTTACGAGAATTACTTTTATTAGACTGATAAATAATAAAATAAAACCCCTTTTATCTTATTCGTTTAAGAGAAAATTTTTATTGTTGTTACATTTACAAATAATTAATGAAAATATTCCCCCAAAAAATATTTATTGGAGTCGAAGAAAAAATATTGGTCGCATTACATTTAAAACATAATTAGAATAATGTTATGTAATTTTATAAGTAGGTATAACACACACACACACACACACACACACACACACACACACACACACACACACACACACGGTTTAGTACGTTATTCACTTACACACAACAATGTTTTATTAAAAGTGATAAAGACGCTTAATTACAGCCCAAATCAACTCACCTGTGTACCTGAACATCAATTAACTTCTTTATTTTTTTTTTTACACTGAAGGAGGAGACAACCCGACAATATAATGAACTAACAACAAAAACCCAAAGTTCCTGCAGCCAAAGTTTCTCGATTTACCTGCACCATCCATTACTCACAGACCACCCACCTTCATCCCCTCCCTCACCTACAGTATACCTGTCGTCACCTACCACCTGCCTTACCAACCTACCGTCTCCCACCTACCTACAACCTCCACCTACCTACCTACCTACCATCACCACCACATCTAAACAACAGAACTACACCTACCATCTACTGTTACTACTACTACTACTACAAGTACAATCTCACCCTTCTCTCAGAATCTCAAGTACATCTCTCTCTCTCTCTCTCTCTCTCTCTCTCTCTCTCTCTCTCTCTCACACGCCATTTTAAGAGAAGCCAGGGAAGGAGGGAGGGATGGAGGCAGGGAGGGAGGAACGGAGGGACGGACGGAGGGAGGGAGGGAGGGAGGGAAGGTGGGAGGGAGGGAGGGAAGGTGGGAGGTACACTTACAGGCCCTCACTATAAGAGCATCGTGAGAGACGTGGCAGCATCCCCAGATATGATTAATGAAGACGGTGATGCGATAGCCAGGGTATATGTCGCCGCCACTAGCATAAGACCCTGGCAAAAACATCTCTCTTCTCCTCACACCTCCTACCCTACCCTACCCTACCCTACCCTACCCTAACAGTGAAAGGGTCGAGAGGGTGTCAAGTAGCGTGAGAATTATTACATGCGTGAGTCTTCTTGAGTCTTTGTAGTACACAGTTTGATGAGTCTTAGTGATGCTTAGTGAATGTTTGTCCTGTTGACTTTTGTTTGGTCATTATTTATTACACATGATGATAAAAGTCGAGTTTGATGGTGGTTAGCTTGGGGGCTGGGCTGGGTTGGGCTGGGCTGGGCTGGGCTGGGTTGGGTGTTCAGGCTGGCTGGAGGCTGGGCTGGGCTGAGCTGGGCTGGGTTGGGCTGGGCTGGGCTGGGCTGGCTGGGCCTGGGCTGGGCTGGGCTGGAGCTGGAGGCTGGGCTGGAGGCTGGAGCTGGAGCTGGAAGCTGGAGCTGGGTTGGGTGCTTCTGGGTTAGGTTGGGTTAAGCTAGGCTGGAAGGCTGGGCTGGGTTGGGCTGGGCTGGGCTGGGCTGGGTTGGGTTGGGTTGGGTTGGGCTGGAGTTGGGTTGGGTTGGGTTGGGTTGGGTTAGCTGGGCTGGGCTGGGCTGGGCTGGGTTGGGCTGGGCTGGGCTGGGTTGGGCTGGGCTGGAGCTGGGCTGGGCTGGGCTGGGCTGGGCTGGAGTTGGGTTGGGTTGGGTTGGGTTGGGTTGGGCTGGAAGCTGGGTTGGGTTGGGTTGGGCTGGGCTGGGCTGGGCTGGGTTGAGCTGGGCTGGGCTGGGCTTGGCTGGGCCTGGGCTGGACTGGGGTTGGGTTGGGCTGGGCTGGGTTATGACAAGTACCTGGGTTATAAATCATGTTTATGTTGTAATTTTAAAGTTGTAATGCAGGTATTGTATCGAGGGTCCGTTAGAAGTGAAATGGACTCCTCTATCCATATACAGTAAGGATAGATGGAGGGTTTCATATATAATGGACTCGATGTACGGACTTTCATATCTATAAGTTCCGTTAAATAAAGGTTTCACATCGAACACATCCTCGATATAACGGAATTTTCTCTCCACGTAGTCCGCTAAATAGAGGGTTCATGGTATTTGTATTCTCGAAGACGTGTTGTTTGCTTACATCCGTCAGCTGATGTGGTGATGAACGACGCTTGGCTCACATCCGGTACAAGCTGATAACGTATTCTCATCCGATAACAATAATAGATAATTATAATATCTAGTTAATTTACAACAAGGAAATATTAATAACAAAAATAAAACTAAAATTATATACCCCCAATAAACACCAAATTATTACTAACACACACACACACACACACACACACACACACACACACACAGGGTCTTAGTAGGATAATGGGTAGAATTAGGAAGACCAGAGAGAGAGAGTACACACAACTCCTAGGGTGAGTGGGCCGTAGTCGCCAACCCTCAGAGATGATACCTTGATTGACCGAGTGACTAATTAGTTGATACACTAATTGAGTGACTAACTAATTGATTGATTGATTGACTGATTGGCTGAACTAACTGGTTGACAGATTGACTGACTGACTGACTGATAGACTAATTTACTGACTGAGTGACTAATTAACTGACTGTATCACTGACTGACTGACTGACTGACTGACTGACTGACTGACTGACTTATAGACTAATTTACTGAGTGACTAATTAACTGACTGTATCACTGACTGACTGACTGACTAACTGACTAACTAACTAACTAACTGACTAACTAACTAACTGACTAACTAACTAACTAACTGACTAACTAACTAACTGACTAACTAACTAACTGACTGACTGACTAACTGACTGGCTGATAGACTAATTTACTGAGTGACCAATTAACTGACTGTACACTGACTGAGTGAATAAACGAGCCACTGATCATTACATTTCATTCAGTGGCCTCCAAAAAATCACAAAGTTTCGTTCAATGTTTTAGTATTTTTTTTTTTCGATACCTGACACTAACAGACAGACAGACAGATAGATAGATAGATAGACACAGATAGATAGATAGATAGATAGATAGATAGATAGACGTAGCCCACTCGCCAACACTGAGACAGACCAATGCGCTTGAGGCTGACATACGCACATTCCTAACTCTCTCTAAACTACAGAACACCCCTATTAACTAGCTCTGTCTGTGCCCTGTGTTGGTGATTAAACCCACAGATTAAATATACCTGGAGTTAATTACCCTCTAAGAGATAATTAAATGTGGTTATCAATCTTATCGTGCCATTCAATACAGTACGATAATGAGTTAGGTAGAATTAATTGTTGTTTGAATTGTAACAGTTAAATGGATTAAATATAGTTAGTTAGGGTATGGAGTAATTAGATAGTTAGTTAGTTAAAAATCATCTACAGGTAATTACAGGTTAGAATAATTAAATGCGATTATTTATACAGCTCAATCGAAATTAAATACAGTCTGATAAGAAATTAAATATAATATTATTAATCTATAAATAATAATATACGGTTAGCTACTGTATATAATTAAATAGTCCCAATGAGACAATAAATTAGATACAGTTAATTACAGTCGAACTTGAAATTAGTTACAGTTCAATAAGAAATTTATAGGTTAGGTAGGTTGGTGTTAAATTAAGTCAGGTTACGTCAGGTTTGGTTGGGTTAGCGTTAGGTTATGTTTGGTCTGGTTTGGTTTGCATTAGGTTAGGTTAAGTCAGGTTACGTCAGGTTTGGTTGGGTTAGCGTTAGGTTATGTTTGGTTTGGTTTGGTTTGCATTAGGTTAGGTTAAATCAGGTTACATCAGGTTTGGTTGGGTTAGCGTTAGGTTATGTTTGGTCTGGTTTGGTTTGCATTAGGTTAGGTTAAGTCAGGTTACATCAGGTTTGGTTGGGTTAGCGTTGGGTTATGTTTGGTTTACATTAGGTTAGGTTAGGTTAGGTTAGGTTAGGTTAAGTTAAGTCAGGGAACATTTGTCTAATAATAAAGGTGCTATAGTATAAACCTCTCACAAGACATCAACGACGCCTCTATATGCCACCTGGGCCACAACACCTTCACTTGGCCCACAATGGACACGAGACAAAGGGCGCAGTTTAAAAAATAACACTTTAAATACGTGTTAAGAGGCAGAGGAGGACTGAGAGGTTGTAAAGATGACGGATAATATGGCAGTAGGGGGTGAGGGAGTGGTTGAGGGATGGGGAGTGAGGAGAT